CTTTTTCTAGTTTTTTTTTTCAGGTGCATGTCCAATTCATTGATTTGCTTTCTCTCTTTTATTGATGTGTTTAGAGATATACATTTTCAAGACTGGAATTTTAAAAGATCTTCTGTCACTGAAATAATGGGTTCAACTTAATAAGATGAAGTATAATAGAAATAAATGTAAAATCTACCACTTGAGTTCAAAAACTGAAGTTCACCATTACAGACTAGGGTAGAGATGGATAGGAGCCACATGTCAGGGTTGTGACATGGCAGTCAATAAAGCAGCTTAGATCGTAGACTGAATTTAGCCAAGTCAAGCCAACAAGCTTTTATTAAGCACTCGCTATGTTCCAGGCACCATGGACTGTTTAGCAGACATGCTGTTGCTCATTTGTTTCAGTCTGACCCTTCGTGATCCCATTCGGCATTTTCTTGACAAAGATACTGTAGTGGTTTGCGATTTCCTTCTCTAGCTCACTTTACATATGTGGAAACTGAGGCAAACAGGGTGAAGTGACTTGCCCAAGGTCACACAGCTAATAAGTATCTGAGGCTGGATTTGAACTCAGGTCTTCCTGACTCCAAGACTGGTGCTCTATCCACTGTGCCACCTACCTGGCCCTAATTTAAAAAAGCATAGTGTCCAAAACATGGAAATTTTAACTCCATTTTTATTTGTTAAGCTCACGTGGAGAGTATTGTGCCCAGCTTTAAGTGCCCTCATTTTAGAAAGGATACTGATGAACTGAAGGGTAACAAGAATAGAGAAGGATCTCAAATCTGTGCCGTATTAGTATTGATTTAAGGAATTGGGGATATTTAGCCTAAGTAAGAGAAGAATCTAGAGAGACATTAAATCGTTGTTCAGTATTTGAAGAAAAGTAGCCATGTAGAAGAGTAATTTGTCTTGTTTAACTTAGAGCCGAAGGATTGAGGTTGGAGTGGTGGGTCTGGACGACAGCTGCCCCAAGGTAAAATGGATGTCCTCAGCAGGAAGGGCATCTCTCCCACGTCTGGCTGGAGGCGCTTCATCGTCAGAGGGTGCACAACCTCTTGTCAGGAACAGGGCAGGTCTCATGTCAGGTTGGACAGTTCTATCCAAAGAAAGTCTTTTCTCACATCCCGAGAGTAAATATCAGTTCTCTGTTCTGTTATGCTAGTGCAAACTGTCATCTCTGACATCAGAAGCATTATTTATCTCCTAGTCTAGGTGAGAAGTTTTGGCTTCAGGGGGTCTCAAAGACTTTTCTGCCATTCCCAGCACCAACTAGAGCTGTTAATCCTAACTTAACCTTGCATATTTCATCTGCGTGCATCCTCATCTAGCCTGACTCGGTTGTTATAGTCGTTCC